AACAATAGACTTGTTTCATTATAATCATACTATTAAAATAAAGGAAAGGCTCATTTTAACAATTTTTTTATATTTGTGTTAACTGATAACAGAAAACAGGGGCTGTTGAGCTGTTCATTAGAGCGAAATGACTAAGTTAAGTGTGAAGTTCAAACAGCCCTGATTTGTCGAGAGGTTCAATTGGTTCACTTTTTATTGTTAAAACGTTTTTATTTGAATGTTTACCAAATTACTACTATATTGCTACAGCGCATGCACCTTTTTTCTTCACTTCCGACACATACTATTTCCTTTTCCTTGAAAAAGCTAAGTTTATGGTGAGGTTAAACTTAAGAGGTGTGGAATCATTCTTTTTTTACTACCCGGTAGTGAAGGAAATGGGTCCTGGGCATAAGGCTATTTTTAAGTCTGATGGTTCATCAGCTAAAAGTGGCTTAAAGAGACTTTTTGAAGTTGTGGAGAGTGGGAAATGGTGCAATGGATGGTGTTCTTGTGCTGGAGTAAAAAGAAAAAGACTTTATCTAATAGTGAAAATTAAATATTAAAACATGTTTTTAGATAAATTTTCTTTGATCTGCTCGAACATTCCATCAACCCAATTGAGATTACTAACTGGGGAAAAATCCTATAGAGGAAAAGTACGATTGGCGATACACAATACACCTCTTTAACCTCATATTTAATTTTTTAACTAAGCCTAGTGATACATTAAATCCAATCTATTTTCATAGAAAAAAGGACGAGGAATTCAGAGATACCATCAGTTTTTTCATAGGTCAAACCACTATGATACAGTGCTATAAAAATCCAAACGTGAAAAGCAGGCTGATTAACTTAATTTTAATGTGATCGAACTTAGCACTTTACTCTAGATAGTCATTTTAATCTAACGAATAGATGTATCACTATCATCTAGTAGATTACTGTGTATATGTACTAGAGTCTAGATCTAATCTAGTGTAACTGTTACTGTGCTACTGAGTGTAGTGTTACGTGTATGAATACTATGATTACTATATTATCGAAATTAGGTTATTTTTGTACTATGCCGTTCATTTAGTTTTCATTCAGTTTATTATTTTAATGTAGTAAAAGCGAAGCCGGTCAGAACAGAGGATGTACACATTAATACTAATAAAACGTAAAAGACTAAAATGGATTTTGTAAATATAATAAATAAGAATGAACTAGGTTACCATGGTAAATTCACTGATAATCTGACAGACAGGATCACGTTGTGAAAACAGGAATGATGTCAGAAATCGATTACGTTGATATTAGTCCATATGTCGACTAAGTACTGGTATTGAAACAAATTTTAGAATAACTTTTTTAGAAATTAGGCTAGATCAATGTAACTTATTTCACAAATTCGTTACATTCTTTTTCAAAGCTCTAAATAAATGTGCTTTAAAAAAACGCTTATTATACTTTCTGATTTAAAAACATAAAAAGAAAATAAAGTAATCGATTTTATAAGAAGTTTGTCATGAAAAGCTCGAAGGTTCCATATAATTTTACAATCCAAAATTTCTAATGCGATGGCTTATCTTCTTATCTTATAGTGTCTATAATACAGACGTTACTTCAAAAAAATAAGATGATTACATCCTATGTGTCATGCATTCAGTCATGCATATTAACCAATGACTTAAATTCTGCCAAGTCACTGGTTTTCCTGGTTAGCTCAGGCAATTCCATGCTCTAATAGCACTAGGGAGGAAGGAGCATTTGTACACATTTCTCCTAGCATATGGGACGAGGAATGTGCCTTTATCTTTGTGTCTTTCTTTCGGAAACGCTTCAAAAACCAGCTTAGGCGTCAACTTTCCTTGGATGACATAGAAGAGAGCACCTGGTTACATGCGGCCTCAGAACGAGACAGCTGGAGGTCACTCACGAAGGCCGCAGGATACACATTTGAGACCAAAAGAAAGTCTGCTGCCGAGGACAAACGCAGACGTCGAAAAGAAAATATAAATCGACCACCTGCGGACAATGGTTATGTTTGCCCTGGCAAAATATATAGGTCTCAGCTGGGGCTGCGCAGCCACGGGAAATATTGCATTCCTCACTAATCTTCGGACTCGAAGACTAGCCTTATTATTATTACTAAGCACAAGTTTGCCATTAATTATAATAGTATAAAATTGATTTAGATCTAGATTTATTTTTTAATTAAATAATTATTTTTTTTGTAAGCTCTAAGTGTAGTATTTATTTATCTATGTTATTAAAAATAAACAAAAAGAAACTTACTTTTTCTTTTCAAATCGATAAAGTAGAACTTTATACCCATATTGAGCTGTAAATAAGTTGGGTGGCTTGCAATTTCGCGGCTGTGTGTATGTGTTCAAGTTAATTTCTATTCAGTATTGTTTAAGAGCTCATTGTCGCGCAGATCTTTTTTTTTTTTTTGCTGCGTTATATCAATGTTTTCTAACTTAACCTCTCTCATCCCTGTTTTTGGTTAAATTTCATTGGAACCATTAAAAGACGGGGAGGGAAGGAGCGAAAAAAAAAAATAGGCGTGCCATCAGAGGCCAAAGCCGACCAGCAAAATGAGTAGGCCAAACACAACCTCAAAGACATCAAAGCAGTCCATGCTGCTCGTGCATAGCAGAAAGTACGGTCTAACGTTTTGGAAATGATAATACGTACAGTGTATAGTGTATTTTTTTTTCTTGATATTCTTGTTGACTTTCAAACCAAATTAATTGTAATAAGAATTAGAAAAAAAAAAAACAACGTGTTCGCGCCTTTGTGTCTTGCTGCTGTCACTTTTTTTTAAGTTGTCTTCATTGAAAATTTTTATTCTTTGGTCGCGACAAGACCGGCCCAATTGGTACCGGCCCACCAGGCATTTGCCCATTTGCCCATATAGCCAGTCCGCCCCTGATCAGGAAGTGTGCAGTCTAGGTCTATAGGTAGAGCAACGTTTGTTTGTTTCAGTCCATCAGAATTACGAATTCATAATCGCTCAAACCAGAGCGGAGGGATTGAACCCGGGCCTGGACCACCGAGACGACTGTCCAGACCATACGACCAAGCAACGTTGTCGTTTTTTACAGTGGTCAGAAGTTTTTAGTGGGGCACTATCGCCATTGTGATCCCGTATCGAATTTCTGTATTTGTGATTCTGTCTTATAATGTTTCACAGCATCTGTTAGGACTATTTATGGCGATAATAAATACAAAAAATGGGGGAGGGGGGGGAGCGGATAAGAACTTATAGTCTGAGGTCTAATTTTTAGAGTAGGAGTTTGTTTCGGTTAGTTGTCATTAAGTAAATAATGTCATGGTCGCTATTGTATCATAAAAATGCACTGTCAGCTCAAACCATTCTCTGAGTTTGGCAGGAATTCGGGCTGCTGCAGCTGAAATCAATCATTTTTTGGTACATTGGACCTACAGTAACGAGTACACACCTTTTTCTTAATTTAAGAAAAAAGCTAGGGCGTCCTTGAAAACATAACCTGAACTAAACCCACTGAGGCGCAAGAAGAGAAGCCGTCAAGATGATTATGGATAATTTTTTTTTTATTTTAGAACCTCTAGAGACATTGGTTACTAGGCCTACAAATGAAAACTTTTCCACTACATCTGCAGTCTTCATTTTCTTACCTACCCTGGGTTTTTTTTGCCCCTACATTAACTGAAATAATTGGACGCGTAAGTCAACCTTCAAAAGCAAGGATTTGTCAACTCAAGACTGCGCGCACTTAAACCGAAAACATTAAAAACATTCTTAACTAGTAGTCGATACGACATCGATGAAGCAAGTGTAACTTTGCCGAACTATCTGGTGATTAGCAGAACCTCAAAAACGTATTGACCACAAGAAATTTAAAGGATGTCAGGCGAAAAAGGTGAAGCTTCTGTATTAAAACACAAGAAATAGCAAAGGATGGAAATGTATTCTTACTTGGACGAGATAGTTCAAAAAATAATCCCCTGATAAGAGCAATATCCTGATATGGTAGGTAAGTAAGTTTTTTGTCGCCAGCATTAACTATTAGATCCTCAGGTCGAAATCTATCTCGATAGTGCTCATATTATAGTGACATTGACAACAAATTTTATCTGGAGCGAAAGATGCTTCAACGATTAGTCGCCCTTTCTTCAGAAGCATCTGAACTTCTAAAACAAGAACCGTTTTGAGATCTTGATTTTTATAAAAGGAAACTGGTTGGATTCGGCGATTCTCAACCTATTTTTTAAGCTCCACGTCCCTAATACAATTTTCCACTAGGCGGCGACCCAAACCATAAAATGTTTTTCGTTCATGGGCTTCACTAGATGTGATTTAACTAGTGTTATAAAATCGTCATCAAACTGTATGTGATATCCTTGATGCTAATTCCATTGTTAGAAACTGGACATTAGAAAAGCTTTATTTAGTGTAAAAAAAAAATTGCGCTTAAATAACAACTTTGATGACTTTCATTTATTTACCTTTCTATTGCTGTCTATTATAGCCTATTCATTTTGCATACATAACTGACAATTTCAAAAGTAGGCGTATTGCTCATTGATATAGGCCTAATAAGCATGGAAAACATAGTCTTTGACACAGTAAACTACATTGCTACAAAATTGTTGCAACCGTATTTTCAAACACGCCAAAGCTATAGTGCGAAGGTTGAGTTTGTTTTTAATTCACTAGATTAGGAATTCACATCTTCTCTATCAAGTTTATTTCTGTATTTAGACCTGATAACTAATAGGCATAAAAAACTATGTTTCGCAAAGATATAGTCTATTATTGGAAATGGAAGAGGTAAACGTGAAAAAAAAAAAAAAACTCAAATAGAACAGAATGACCGCAAACAATGGATTCAGAATTGTGTTACTGACATTGAAAAGAAATATAAAGAGTACGATATATGGAGACACCACAAATATTTTTCCAAGAGGTCTTTTACTTTTCCAAATTTGTCAACTTTGTCCATTACTGGCACATCACGTTCTGTAGAGATTGTTTTGCATTTCTTTGGAATATCCGGTTAGCTCAGTCAGTAGAGCAACAGACTTTTAATCTGAGGGTCAAGGGTTCAAGTCCCTTTATCGGGCGTAACACTTTTTTTTTTATATCTTATGTAGATTTAGTTATTTCCAGAAGATTTATTTTTGACAAAGATATAAAACGATATGATTGTAGATTGAGTGGTTCTTGGAAACTGAATCGATATTTTTTTTTCATTAGATTACTGAAATGCAGAGAAAACAATCACAGATTGTATGAAACGCTGGTTTCTTTTAAAAAAATGGAATACAGAAACACTTGCCTGACATGAAAGTAATGGTCGAAAACAACTTATAACAATTTATTTCAATAGATGTGTGAGTTTCTGTGCTTTTATCAGAGGATGCGAAGAATAGCTAAATAGAAAACAAATTTGCGAAAACACACGAGAAACTAATGTATTAACCAACTCTCATCCAACGAATGTTCAAATAATAATAGGCCTATTAATAATTAAAATGCAATAAAAATAAAAATCGAGGTCTCTCTTCGCAGTGTAAGTCCCTAAGTATGCCTAGATAAATAGAGGCCTGTTCCTAGCTAAAAAGCTAGGAACAACTTCATACAAAAATTCAAACTTTTAATTGCTCGCCCGGTTAGCTCAGTCGGTAGAGCATCATACTTTTAATCTGAGTGTCAATGGTTCACGTCCCTTGTCGGGCGTCTCTATGCTCTTTTTTTCTCTTCAAGAGTGAAAGTATCTATTATAGGCCCTACTAATTCTTAATCTATGTTAATACCAGGACCAATTTCGACATCCAGTCCGCCCCTGGTGCGAACTTAAGGGGTAAGAGAAACCTCTGTACACTATTTCGTTGTTAAGCAAGATGGGTTAAATATCTGTATAAATAATTCTCTACGTCACCCAACCACGCCGACTCTTTAACCCTCGATGAAAAAGTATGGAAACTGTTTTATTTCTGCAAGTCGGACTAGAGTTATCCCACGTAACTTTCGCGACGACAGAGAGTACGTCTCAGAAAAAAAAAGATAGGGGGAAGAATAAGTAATCTTCTCTTTTCTGTATAGATAATTCTCTACGTCGCCCAACCATGCGGGACACCACGCACGCACGCCGACTCTCTAACTCTCTTGGTTTGCTGACAGGTGAGTTGCTGCCATCTTTGTCTCCGTACGCCTCTCTGGTCAGCCTTCTTCACTTTGCTAACGGGTCCGTCTTATTGCTCCTGTTTTCGTAACTGTGTCTTTCAGAAAGTGTTCCCCCATCACTAAATAGCAGCGTATGCTACGCCGCGGGTTGGCTCGTAAAGATTACTGGAACTGTTAAAACTTTAAACTTGTTACCAATACCATTTTCCATCAGAACAACCGTTTCAAACAACATGGAGGCACACTTGCACTAAACACTGGCATCTACTAGATTCTATTCTGTTAAGGCAATGCGATATTAATGAAGAGATATACCAAGTGTGGACTGCTATATAGACCACCACCTTGTTCGTGCCAAACTCAACATTGCTATCCAGGCTCCAGAGAAACAAGGCTATCTTCAGTAGCTGGCAGTAGATGGCATCTGAAAGAGACATTTGGATAGCTCTCACGAAGGCCGCGGGACTAGTCTTTGTAGAGGATAGACGCAGAAGGCGTAAAGATAACTTTAATAGACTATCTGCGGACAACTGTTTTGTCTGAATTAAGTTTGAGGTCGCAACTGGGTTTGCGTAGCCATGTAAAACACTTCACTCATCCATAATCCTCGGAATCGAAGACATTGCCATTACAACCTCATACTTATTATTTGTTTTGATAGTGATCATTTGCTATTTCACTCTCCAGTTGTCTCTTTCAGAGGCTAGGACGTAACAATTTTAATTTGTAAAGGCACGTCTGCTGAGACTTGTCAGGTCAACAACACAGTTAAACACCATCATCATGTGATAGAATCTATATATAGATCTATCTATTTTGTAGTTGGCAGAATTAGTAACCTATGAATAACCTTTCATCAGATAGATTTCCTGTTTATGTTCAAGATGGCGGCGCGCTTACTGAGTCGTGTTGTACGACTAAAAGGTCAAAGGAATTGCAAATATCCTAAGTATGAATTGTTAACAGAAAGTCTTAAATCAAGATCTTAACTTTTTATCTTAATCGTGATTTTATCAGTAGAATCTAGATCTTAAAATCTAATTCACTAACAGTAGAGAGTTGAGTAGAGCTAGGCTACCACTCTCATAGTATGATAGTTTAGTCATACTCATACATGATACTTATCATACTGTGTGTGAGGTATCATACTCACTGTGACTGAGTCTGAGTGATAGGCCATCATAGGCCTACTCCTACTCATCACAATAAATGTCATCATTATTATGTTTATTCATATTATATTAATTATAATATCATCTCATAGATTAGTCTTAGATGATAAAATAAATGATTAGATCTACTTTAGTACTTCTGATACTATTGATACTACTCATTTAGACATTTTAGAGACCCATAGATGACATAGTACCATGTCCACTGCCACTACTAATAGTTACTAACTAGTACTACACTACTATCTAGATCTTGTTCTAGATCTAGTCACTAGTTGATGTAGATCTACTACTAAGTACTACTTTACCAGGGCCTAGGCTACTCACTGGCTAGACTTTACTTTTTAAAGTTTCTTTTAAATTATACTACTTAAGTAAGACTTTTTTTTTTAGTAAGTTATAGAGTTTCTACTCAAGTCTACTGTCTACTCTTCAGTGAGTAGTGTAGTAGACTGTAGTAGTGAATAGACACTTAGTCTCTAAGGCAAGACACTCACACACACATCTTCACATGATGACAGTTACTCACAGTAGTCGCATTTCTAATCTAGCTACTAGGGTATACTGGTATACCCAAAATCTAGTTATCATTTTATATTACTTATAGATCTAATATAACTTATATTTTAAGTTATAGATCTATATGAATATGACTATATCTAGATCTAAATACTGTAAGTGTAGCACATTATAATTAGTCGATATCTCTATAGTATACATGTAGTCTATAAAAATTTAATCCAATTTATAATGAATAATATTGATTAATAATAATTATAGCTTCTATGGCCTGGCAAGTTGAACTTTGGCTTTGGCAATATTATTTCACTAAATTCAATATATTTGATTCTGGAAATTAAGTATTGAGTGCAGCAGTTCTCATGAATATGATGACTACCCAAACTCAGTTGTGATCTGCATATTTTTTCTGTAACTTGTGCAGACAAAACTGTTGTTGGACTGCAGGCTGCCTATTATTTTTCTTTCTGTCTTCAATATGGGCTTTCATTCTTTGGGTCTCAAATGACAATGAGTGACCTGCAACCTTTGTAAAAGCTCTCTCACTGTCATGTGATTATAGTTATACTGACACTATATTAGATGGTCTAGTCTAGATATAGATCTAGAATAAAATATACTTTCTAGTCAATCTAAAAACTAATCCTAATCATCTACTAAATAAGAGATCTAGATCTAATAATACACTCACTGTTTGACTGTCTGACTAAAAAAAAAAGTCACTAGACATGTTAGTGTTTTTAGTCTATTGACTTGCTATAGACTATAGATCTAGTAGATATAGTAGTATATTTGAATTATTATTTATTTACTTATGTTTTATAATAGAGATGCTTTAGTATTCATAACCAGGATGGCTGCCTGCTAAGGTGGTAGGATGGCTGATTGGTCGTCTTGAGGTCCTGGTTTCAAACTGTGCCCACGCGCTACTCCCTTCTGTCTTTGGGAAGGTTTTTGCTAGTATGTAATTAAATGTAATAAGCTTCAATTTTGAACTTGAAACATTCAAAACAAACAAATGGCTCTAGTAATTGGTATAATTAGTCTAGATCTAGAGTTAGGAGTTTAGAGCTACTATAGCACTAGGTAAGATAGAGTACTCATAAGTACTTGTCCTCGCGTGTGTTAGGGGAATAAGAAACAATGTAATAGTATCAGATTAATTTTTGTGTCTGGGTATTATCATTAGGTTTGGGTTATTGTATGTATATATTATGATTCTGTGTTACAATGTTACATTTTAGTGGTTTAGTTTATGATTTTTTTCCCTCCAGTTTTAGTCTTCTGTCCTAAAGTGTCTGTAAGTTTAGTGATTTTACTAAGTAATTGTGAACCTTTTGTCAAATGTGAATATATTCATTTATTATAAACTTCACAGACCTATTTTGCATCTGTACTAGTTTCTTTAATGTCTTTATGCTTTGAGTTAAGGATCCCAAATAGAATATTCTGATTCTAATAATCTAATATTGGTCAGGCTAAAAAGCATTAGTTTTATGTTCCTGTTTGATTTGTAAAACTTTCTTGTAATAAATCCTAATGCTTTGTTATTTTCTTAATTATCTCATCAATATAGGGACTCCATGATAACTTTAACCTCAACTCAGTGTTTTGAAATTGTAGTCTGAGTAACTGGTTTACCGTGAATTAAATTAGTAGTTAATTTTTTATTTTTATTTGTATTTTTGTCTCTTTTGTTGTGGCTCTTCCACGGTGTTGAATTTAATCAATGCAATTATCATGAGGTAACCTTCCACCAAATCAGGAACACCGGCGAAAGGCCAAACAATCAATAAATAGTAGTCAACGCTAGTATCAAAACAATCATGAATACTTTAATACTCAAAAGGGATTCGTCCAATGTCTTTCCGTAAATCAGTACGTCTATTCTACTGCTCTAAACGAAGCGTCTTCTTTTTAGTGTCACTTAGAGCGTTCTACTTTTTAACCTACCTTACGCCATCGTCGCTAAGTAAAACTTTCCCCTTATTCCCAAAACAAGTAACTAATTCCTAATCATGTCATAACACTTTAAATAATTGGCATTTTTTTGGGTGGAAAGACATGCTCCAACTTCATTCCTATTTCTACCATTTGTTTTTATACACTAAGTTTTAGTTATAAAGAAGGGAACTCAGATTTGTTAATTGGGGATAGTCCAAGATAGGAAAAGGATGTATGTGCAAGGTTTGAAATGGAAATTTAAAGTTGTGAACTCTCTCAATTGAAATTTCATAATCACTTCTC